GAAGTCCTCCATCCATTCTTCTTTCTTCATCAATCTTATCTTGGTCTTCTTTCCATCTTCCCCTGAAACCCTTTTTTCCCTAATAATGGAGGAATCAGAAGAGGGTATTGTTGAAGTAAGAGAGGAATGTATGGTTTCCCCAACTGGTGGAGAGCCTACAATTAGAAAAGCACATTTCATCAAACCTTCCACAGATTCCATTACTGAACCCTTCTCCAAACTTCACTTTCTCTCTCTATCCTCCTTTCCGGCAGCTTTTAACCCGAAAAACTGTGCTTTGGAGGTCAACTTCAATGGGTGGAGATACCCACAAAAAGATTGGACGGCTTGGGTGGAAAAGATGGCTTCTTTGCACGAGTCTACCTGGAAGAAAGCTGGTATCTATGAAGCCATCATTACCTCTACTTACACCATACCTAGAAGTGATGATTTGGTCTTTGGGGTTGCAGAGAGATGGTTTGATGAAACCAAAAGCTTCATCTTTCCATGGGGTGAAGCTACAATCACACTAGAAGACATCATGATTTTGGGGGGTTTTTCTGTTCTTGGCTTCCCTGTTTTCTATGCGCTTGAAACTGATGAATTGAAGGAGACAATGGAAAAGCTTGAGAATGCAAGGACAGAATTTAGTAGGACTCCAGCTAAAAAGGCGAGGCATTTACCATGGATGAAGAAATTCATGGATACTAATAGTGAAATCGAGCACGAGGCACTTTTGGCATTGTGGCTATCAAGGTTCGTTTTCCCATCCGGTCTCAAATTAATTACAAAAAGTATTTTACCTATTGCTATACATCTTGCTAGAGGCACTAGGATTGCACTTGCACCTGCTGTTCTTGCTAGTATCTATAGGGATTTGAGTGTGTTAAAAGCAGTCTTTGTTTCAAGAAGAGAATTACTTGATCATGAGAAGAGTAGAGGTCATAGGTTAGCTACTATTAACATTTGGTCACCGTTTCAATTGGTTCAAGTTTGGACATGGGAGAGGTTCTTAGAGTTGCGACCAAAGCCAAATTTGATAAGAAATGGTGAGCCAAGGTTAGCTAGATGGCATGACCTTAAGAGCAAAGTCAAGAATGTGAGGTCAGTTCTAGACTTAGCCACAGGAGGTTTTGAGTGGCGCCCTTATGTTAAGACACTAACAAACTGGAAGTTTCCCAAGTTTTATGATGAAAGGGGAATGTGGGTATCAGTTGATTCAGGTCTCAATGATGAACTGTCGGTGTTTGCTCAATGCTTGAGGGTGTCAGAACTTGTTGGACTTGACCATGTAGAACAATACCTTCCTCATAGAGTAGCATTGCAGTTTGGACTGGATCAAGATCTTCCTGGTTTTGTTGCTAGATCAGATGGCAATCCTGAAATTGCTTGGGATAATTATAGTAGGCCAGTTGGTGGTGGGACCCTGTATATTCCATCCAGGTTTTATGAGGCAGATGTTACAACCCGTTACTTGGAATGGTGGAAAGAATCAGCATCAAGTCTTCAAGAGCCAGGAGATTTTTCTGGAAGCTTTAACATCAGCCCATTACTTGGAATGGTGGTAAATGCAACTTCTACTTTTGGTATTGCTTGTGCTTTGAACTTGAAACGGAAGACGGAAGTTGACATTGTAGGTGCTCCTTCGAAGATTTTGAAAAGTTCAGCTCAAAGTTCTAAAATAAAGGAGGACAATTGTGTTTCCGTTCCTCTTTTATCTCCTCCAAAGAGTTTTCAAGGAGCAATTGGGTGTTCAGAAGAAAAGAGGAAACCCATCATTGCTGCTTCTCGTCTTGATCTTGATTCATACAGTTCAGAAAACTCCATTCTTGTTTTGGAAGCCAAAAAAAGTGAAAATAGTAATTCTGTTTTGGCGAAGTCTCCTTTTAGGACCTCAAATGAAGTACTTCATTTTGGAGTTCAGAAGAAACTTGACACTTCCTCTACCTCACCTGCTTTTCCTCCCAAGGGAAAAATAGTGGAAGCAAACGGTTCCTTTGATGAAGATGGCATGACCACTAGAGAAGTTATAAGATCTTTTAGCAAGCAAGATTGTGATTGTGAAAAGCCTAGAGATTCCGAAAGTCATTCTCTGGATTCTGTCACTGAAGCTCAACTGACACTTTCAGGTTTGGCAATATTGAAATCTAGAAACAAGCTTGAGATAGTTGAGTATAGAGAGTTAAGAAATAATGGAAATTCATCTCATCCGTGTCAAGGGCTTCTGTCTTCAACCACCGAGAGCAGATGTTCGAGATGTAAGCAGTTGCTTACAGCATCCTCAGAGAAATTCAAGCCAAATGACTCTGCCAATGGAGGATCAAAGATTAGTATTCCCACTGTGTTTGAGAGTCGTGCAGAAAATCCCATCATGGACAACAGTGGCAGCCCTGATAGTGAAAAGGAAGATGGAAATAGCTATCTGGTTCAGATGTCAGGGTTAGACCTTGACACCTGGATCATCAAGCTGGAAGGAATGGTTGGTAGGCTTAAAGCAATAAGGAATGGCTCAAAGGTCTAGGAAGTCAATACTAGCTGCCTGAGTTGGCTTGGTTAGTCTCCTTTTTCTTGATGCATGAAGATGTTGATTATGCCTGCTACAAGCCTGTTCACAATGACTGACCAATGCACGGTTGTGCATTCTGTAATCAGTACTCCTTTTGTTTTGCATGAGAACATTCCATCTTATGTATATATGTATATTATCAGCTTTTTGCTGACTTACCGAGGATTTCATTCCGTAGACCCTTAATGTACATTAATCTCCAGCAATATATTTCTTAGTTACCCAAGACAAATTTAATATGCAAGCACCTTTGTTCTGACCAATGTCCTGATAGTTGTTGACAACTTCATTATATTACTTGCCCTTGGAAGTACTTAAATCTTTATAGTTTATCTAGTACAGTTTCTGAACTTATCTCCTAGTTTGTGTATCAACAAGTTTCAGACTTTCAGTAACATTGAAATATTCTTCAAACCATAACCATATATATGCATGAAATGTCATGACCAACTCTCACACTTAAAAGACATTAGGTAATAGAAAGATGATCGTTTCACCACCATCAGAATCTTCATATACTCCAACTCTCTGTACTTAAGACTAGGAGTATGGTATCAAGTGCTGAAATAGTTGGGAGAAGAGGCACACTAAAAACAATATTCTAACACGAAACAAACAATGAACCTTCTCTATTTGTGCGGTTAATAGCAAATAAACAAACCTAAAATAAAATAAGAACAACAAATCAAGACATTGAGTTCTTTTTTTTTTTTTTATTTCGTGGACAGCCCAAAAGGGAAAAATCATGGGACCAAATCCAGCTGAAAACTTCCGCTATAAAAATAATTGACTTACAGAGTCTCTTCTCTAGATAGAACTAGAGGCTTACAATAATAATCAAATGCTCAAGTTCAAAAAAATAAGAAGAAACCAAGACAAATTCTAGGTAGGGGCTCGGAAGTGGAACATGTATCAGAGGAGCATTACCCAAGCTTCTATAAAATTCTCCATAGCTTTCCAAGACATCAAACAGAGCCACTGAACAAAAAGGGTACAGCTCCTGCTCCACAAATGAATTAAAACAATTGAGATGCAATTAACAGAGTTTGTGGTTCATCACTACCAAGAGTTGCAAACAATAATTACTAATTTATCACAAATTTTTGATTGCAGCTAGGACAGAGTATGCATCCTTGCTGACCAACTTGACTAAATTTGCTAATCCCTCAAGACTGGAAGCTTTGATTAGCAAAGATGGATGTGTAGAGAAGGGAAGTTGCATGACAGTTCTTGCCATCATCTGACAGCTAGAACTCAGAAACTATGTTCATTTTTGTGGGAACCTACATTCAAGGAGAGAGTCACTTATTAGTTCAAGAATTTTTTCCCCTAAAGAAAAAGGTTGAGAGATAAGCTAGTGCTTTGATTCCAAAGAATTATGAAAAATAGGAAACAACCAAAGTGCTGAAATGAAAAACTAAAGGAGGCCTGAAAAAGAAGTCATCAAACCTTGACAAAGAGAAGCATATATCCTTTTTGACAAACCCAATTAAAATTTCTAAACCCACAAGACTTGAAGCTTCAATAACTAAAGATGCATGTCCAATGTTGCTATCATCTGACCTGCTAGAACACAGAAATTTTGATGATTTTTGTGGAAGCCAACGAGGCAAAGAGAGAGTCCCCATTGAGGTTGTACAAGAATGAGGTCTTATGCTGACTGCTGAAATAAGTCATCCCTTCTGAGAAATCTCATGCCATTGTAGTGAACAAGAAAAAACTTAAACGACAAGTGCTATCACATGACAAAATTAAATTATTTCATTTACCCGCCTTACAGGAGCTTGTTTCCTGAATCACTTTTCACAAACATTAAGCTTTATTCTCTGTAACTGTCTCACAGACATCTTTACACGTCCAAGAGTCTCTCTTGTCCCCTCACTGAACTGAGTAGCTGCCCAGGAAAATCAACCTAAAATGTCAAAAATTAAGATAAAAAAAATTAAGAGCTATAAAATATAAAAGAAAGAGAATATAAAATGAGTAAAAGGTTTGGTAAAAAAAATAACATATAGGAAAGAATTTGATAACTTACCTGGTAAAGCTCTTGATTGTTACATCTGTGAATAGAAACATTAATTCCCCTGGAATAGAAATATAGATTAGAATTAGAATCAAAAGCTTTTTATCCTCAACTCCAGTAAGAAATTGGTTAAAGAGAAAAAACAAACTTATTATACATAAAAGCAGAATTATGGTTAGCACACACCTCAAAATTCAAAGCTTCCAGGATCTCTGTGGCCAAGCTTTCATTCCATCAAACTATACGACTGCCATCGATATAAATGTTGGGAATGAGGGAAATCTTGGACCATTCGGGGCCGTTCTCTTTGGCGCATCTTTCCCCTAATTTGGGACAATTCCCAATATAAAGATGTTTTAAGTTAGAGAGCTGTTGCATGGCTTCTACGGAAGGCAGACTCGTCAAATTATTACAATTCAAAATGCTCAGAATCTGAAGAGAGGAAAGGTTTGCTATCCACTCTGGTAAAGCTTGCAATCTATGGAAGTTTTTTATTTTCAGCCGCTTGAGGGCAGTGAGATGTTGAAGCTGATGTGGCAGAGACTTGAGTTTTTTCCATCCCTGCAAGTCCAGGTCTTCGAGAGGGAGGCGAAGGATGGGATTGAGTCCTGGGAATTCCTTCAACTCCGAGCAGTAACCACCAATACTTAAATTCTTCAAGTTAGTGAGGCAACCTAGGCACTCTTCTGGAATGCTCAATTTTTTGCAACTCTGGATGCACAAAGAAGTAAGAGAAATGTAGGATCCCAGCCTGTTTGGTAGACAAGTTAATTCCTCACAATTCATTAGCCTTAAATATTTTAGAGATGTGAGCCCATCCAAAAATGAGATTGCTGCCAGATTCGGGCAGGATGTTATAATAACCTTAGAGAGCTGGGTAGAGCGTGATTGATTCCAAGTCTTCAACCTAGGACATCCATAAATCGACAAATACTCAAGGCAAGGAAGCACAGCCACGCCTTTCCCTTCCTCATGTACTTCAACCCCTTCCTCTAGGCTTTCCATATCTGATATCTTAAGCCGTTTTAGAGCTGGGAATAGTGTGATTGATTCCACCACGTCCTGATTGTCACTTCTTCTGAGATTAAATTTGTG